ATTTCATCTCTGATCATCAAACTTAAACTCTGATCATCAGTAACTTAAAGTTACTTTAAGATTTGGTCAAAAACACTTTAATTTTGAGGAGATGTGTATTCCTTTAAAAGAACTTCAGACCTCTAAGTTTCTCCAACAACTCCGTCTATTCCTCATGCTCTTCACCAAGTAGTCTTCCACAACAAATCAAACCTCAACAAGTTCTCATGCAGAAGGATCTGAGGTTCAAACCTGCTCTCATCTCAGGAGGTGGTGAGGAACGAGATCCAGGTGATGAACCAGCTGAACCACGCCAACCTCATCCAGCTCTACGCCGCCTTTGAGTCACGCAATGACATCATCCTTGTGTTGGAGTAGTAAGTGTGTGATTGGAGGTCTTAGTGTGTGTTTCACACAACAGAGTTACAGGTTTCCCTGCTTCTGTCTCTGCCGCAGCGTGGAAGGAGGCGAGCTGTTCGACCGCATCATCGACGAGAACTATAACCTCACGGAGCTGGACACGGTCCTGTTCATACGCCAGATCTGTGAAGGGCTGCAGTACATGCACAAAAACTACATCCTGCATCTGGATCTGAAGGTAAAGCGGGCTAAAGGGCTTCCGGGTAACTCCTACTACCTCCATCTTCCAAACCCTAGCCAAACGTATGTCCTTTTTCAGCCAGAGAACATTCTTTGTGTCAGCAGAGCAACTAACAAGATCAAAATCATCGACTTTGGTCTCGCAAGAAGGTAAAACTTCATCTTGTCTGTTTTCCATCCCTGAGCACATCCGTCCTGATTCAGCTGCTGTCTTCACCAGATACAAGCCCAGGGAAAAGCTGAGGGTCAACTTCGGAACGCCGGAGTTTTTAGCTCCTGAAGTCATCAACTACGAGTTTGTTTCATTCCCAACCGACATGTGGAGTCTTGGAGTCATCACGTATATGCTGTGAGTTGATCTCATCAACATGATTTCCCCTGCGTGATTGCTAGCATTAGCTCTGTTAGCTCTCACAGTCTACAAGAGCAATTATCAGATCTTTATCAAACCCGTTTCTATGGAAACGCAAAGCCAAACAAAGCCACAACCAAGTCTCTGCTCTCCGCTTCCCGTCCGTCCAGGCTCAGCGGCCTGTCTCCTTTTCTGGGGGACGACGACAACGAGACGCTCAACAACATTCTGGCCTGTCAGTGGAACTTCGAGGAGGAGGAGTTCGCCGACATTTCCGATGAAGCCAAAGACTTCATCACGCGCCTGCTGGTGAAGAGCAAGAGCTGGAGGATGAGTGCCACAGAATCCCTCCGACACACGTGGCTCTCGGACCGGAACCTGCACTATCGACTACATCAGAAGGTAAAAATGACCTCTGACCTTTCAATAGGAACAGCTGTACTGATTGTGACTGACTAAAGCAAATACAAGTTTCATCATGATGTAAACTAGGAAGGAAATGCCCTCTGTGGTACAAAACGTCTCGGCAGCTTCATTTCACACATTTATTTTCTGTAAAAACTACTTTAAATCATAAACGGCAGTTTTATTTACCTTTAAATCTTTAAAGACCAAGTTCACTGGGAAACAATTTTTGACTTGTACTTTTTTAAGCAGGGAGGCTCAACAAGAACTTAGCCGTAACTCCTGTGATAGCGGCTGATAGACGTGAAGCTCTCGGATTAGAGAAGCCCCTCAGATCTACTAAAGGTTGTTGTTGATTTAGCGTCCAGGAGAGAGCAGAGCGCATCTCAGTTAGTAGAAGCTAACCGTTAGTGTTAGCAACTCCGCCACACAGCAGAACTCCGCCAGGTTTGTGTTATTTGTGGAGATGAAGCATCAATGCTGAAGAACAAACAGAGTCAGTGGTAGAGCCGTATTGCTGCTAGCCAATCAGAGAAGAGATGTCAGAGTGTCATGAAGTAAGACCCCAAAACCTGCCGTCTGAAGCTCACGTCTGATCTGGCTCACTTCTAGCTCCTGAAACCGGAGCGCCAGGGCTTTTTTTCCCCACAGAGATCAACTCACAAGACCTTCATTTACGCTAGAGACCACTGCACGCGTGTTGAAAAAACGAGTGACCGAGATCTATAACTTTCACACAAACAAAAACAGCAAGGAAACTTTTTCATTTTTTTATTTATTTGGGACCATAAGGATAATAAAAACGAGAACTACAATAAGAACCATTTTAATGATGATAATAAAAAATAATTCATCCACTTTCTTCTGCTTATCCGGAGTCGAGCCGCGGGGGCAGCAGCCCGAGTCGAGAGACCCAAACTTAACCCTCCCCGGCCACCTTGGCCAGCTCTTCCCAAGGCGTTCCCCGGCCAGGCGAGAAACATAGTCCCTCCACCGTGTCCTGGGTCTCCCTTTAGGTCTCCTCCCGGTAAGACGTGCGTGCCCAGAAAACCTCACCAGGGAGGCGTCCAGGAGGCATCCTGACCAGATGCCCGAGCCACCTCAACTGGCTCCTCTCGATGTGGAGGAGCAGCGGGTCTACTCTGAGCCCCTCCCGAATGACCGAGCTTCTCACCCTATCTCTAAGGGAGAGCCCAGACACCCTGTGGAGAAAACTCATTTCGGCCGCTTGTATCCGTGATCACGTTCTTTCGGTCACTACCCAAAGCTCATGACCATAGGTGAGGGTAGGAACGTAGATCTACCGGTAAATCGAGAGCTCTCTCTTCACCACGACAGACCGGTACAACAGACCGGGGAGAGCGGGCTGCAGAGGGCGACAGCGTCCTCTGCTGCCCGTGGATAAACGGAGAAGGAAGTGACGCCACCATCAGCGTCAGCCTGAGGAAGTCTGCAGCCGCAAACGAAACGTAGCGGAAAAACGGGTAACAAAACTGTTAAAAAAGAACTACAGCATGCAATTAGAAATACAACACAGCAAGAACACACCTAAGATGTTCAAAGAGAAATACGGACAACAAGGAACGAAGGACTTCCGCTGTTTGGAGCGATTACACCAAAAACGCGCACGTCTAAGAAACCACCTTCGCTTCTGTTTAAGATGTCAGGACGAAAACATCACACCCACAAGCCTACAGCTGAAAACACCGATCCGGACCCAGACAGCACAAATATATAATAGAAAGAGCATAAAGAGCACTAATCAAGGAGAGGATAAGGAACGTCATAACCAAACAGAAGCAAGTAGAAGACGAACTGGAAAGAAGACACCTGGACCTAAAAAGGAATTACAAACTCAAAAAACAAATGGAGGAACTAACTAAAGGAAACATGATGGAAAAACAGGAAAAAGAGTTCATAAAAGTAAAAGAAAGACACATTAAGAAGTTAAAAAAAACTCATAAACAAGAAAAAGAGGGGGGAAATACAAGGTAACTCCACACCAAACTCATGGGTATGTAACATCTCACAATACAAACTAACAGAAGCAGAGGAGAGCATATTAAAGAAAGGTTTAAATGTTGCAGTCACACCAAAAGAAATACCATATGATGAATTTATTGTAGCAACAGAACTAGCATGTCAACAGATCACAGATGAGGGAAAGAAAGCAGAACTCAGAAATAACGTAGTTGGGATATTAAAAAACAGCCAAATTCAACACAGTTCAATTCAATTCAATTCAAGTTTATTTATAAAGCGCCAAATCACGACAAGAGTCGTCTCAAGGCACTTCACATAATAAACATTCCAATTCAGGTCAGTTCATTAAGCCAATCAGAAATAATGTTTCCTATAGAAGGAACCCAGCAAATGACTTTACAGCAATCCTCATAAGAACAGCAATATTACAAAAGAAGAACAATCAGCCATGACAGCTTTATCCAAAAATGAACAGATAATTATTCTACCGGCAGACAGAGGAAGAACTACAGTAGTTATGGACAGAGAAAAATATAAACAACAGATGAAACAGATGTTAGAGGACAAAAATACATACAAAATACTTAAAAATGACCCAACAGAAAACATTAAGAAAAACATGAAAAAAATACTGAAGCTACTACAAGAAAAAGAAAGATTTTTTTTTATTTGAGACTCGCCGAACGGCATTGAATTCACAGATAAAAAAGATGTGGGTTCAACTTTCATTTTGGAACAATTTTTCAAGCAAGGGAAGGGAATGATCTGAGCATGCAGGAGGACTGACCCATCATAAACCTTTGTCGGCTGTGCTGAAGAGAAAGGTACAGAACCAAATTATTTAATTAATTAGCTGCGTGTTCTCCTGTCCTCTGTCCTGCGGGCCACACACACACACACACACACACACACACACACACACACACACAAGGGACTGTCTCGGCTGTTATTTTCGTTAAGGAGTGTGCACGTACAGCATGCGCGCCTCGTGCACGAGCCTACTATTGAAGCTGCTGTTACGCTTTTGGCCTGAGGGGGCGATCGTGAGCATAAAAATTCAAAAGTCCGTAAAGTCCCTTTAAGTAACGAAAATAGAAAAAATGCTGGAAGTGCTGCAGGGGTGTAAGAAATTTTCTCTGGTGCTCTTCAGCCAAGGGATCCACATAAATGCTGGCAAAAGGAGATCTGAGGCACTCAGGAGATACAAAAATAAAAAGCCTTTATTAGTACATGGCTTAAATAGTTAAAAACATAAATGCCGACACTTTTCAGCCCACAGGGCCTTCGTCAGGGCTCAAAATGTTTGTAGGTTCTCTCACTTTATATCCTATGGCAGTGCATTATAAAGACACAAATCATGGAAGCTGTAACTCTTAAAATCACAGGGACTGAACATATAAAACATTCAATTAGAGGAGGAGATAGGCTTAAAAACTCTTGCACGGAGAATCATTTTGGATTTATACACTAAAAGCTACTAATTTCCCTGGTCTTAATGGAGAATTTTGCTCCTTATTTGTAATTTTAAGTTTTCTTACCATTTTTGTACCATATTTACTTAGAATTTTTTCTGAAATTCTCTCAGTGTAATCTAATATTTGTAAGTATTCATCCGTACAATAGGATTGTTTAGATGTTACGTTTTTTGTGTTATACTGGTCATCCAATCATGATGCTGTCTACCTGCCCAACTTCAGCAGGTGTCACTGATTAGCCTTCTTAACATGAAAGTGAGAGAACCTACAATCATTTTGAGCCCTGACGAAGGCCCTGTGGGCTGAAACGCGTCGGCATTTATGTTTTTAACTATTTAAGCCATGTACTGAGAAAGGCTTTTTATTTCTGTATCTCCCGAGTGCCTCAGATCTCCTTTTGCCATCACAAACGGGGTATTTTTGTTTATGTATTGGTCCATTTAGTTGTTTTTTCAGCGCTAGAAAAAGTATTTATTTTTCCTGCATCTTTTAATTTTATAAGTTCAGTTTTTTTTAGAAATCTGTTTAAAGAATGTTCTCAAAGTCTCTGTAAAAACATTTTTCTGTGCAGAAGAAGAAGTGCCACTCCACCCGTGCTCCTCAGCCAGAGAGCTAAACAGGTGAGGTTCACTTCCTGTCAGCTTGTGCGTCGCTGAGCTCGTGAGACGATTTGGATTTTTGTGTATTTTTTCTCTTTTAGAAACGCCGCGGCTCTCGGATCTCCTTGTGACATCGCAGGGCCCCGGAGCCCAACTCTGGACCAATTCTGCTTGTTGACAGATTATTGCTCACAGCCTCACATCTCTATCGTCGCATCACGTAGGTCTGACGCTGGCATTCACCTGAACCTGTGAGGATCGTGTCAGATACTGTAAACCCTGAGTCACTTTAGTAAATATCAAATTTGCTGCTGGCAAAACTGAAATCATCAAACTGTCATCAAACAAATACATGTCCAGGTGTTTTTTTTTTTTTTTTGCTCTGCTCTGTTTTTGCCACTTTGTCCAAAATTCAACAATCTAGGCAGGACGATTTTCATTTGATCATTTGTTTTGGTTAAGTCTGTTTTAAAGCATTTATTTTAATTTATGAGTCTTATAATACAGTTATTTGTGTCAAACGTAATCCCCACACCACTAATTTATTTTGTACATAGCTGCTCTTTCTCCACGTTGAGACCTTTTACTCTGCAGAGCGTCATCACCTTCTGTTTGCGTCCATGTTTGTTTGGTTTTGCAGTTTGGAGCATCCTTCTCACCTTCCGTGAAGGCATAACTAACAACACACACTACCTACGAATGACTCGCGCTTATGATTGGAGTGTTCCTTTATCCACTGGCTCAACACCAGACTGTACTTGAAAGCTTTTTTTTCAGACTCAAACGGGATTTTGCATTTGTTCTCAACAACGTTTGGTTTGAGGAGCGAAGACGACGCCCATCACTGCTCTGATGTGTCGTTCCCCTGAAGGAACATAGAGTTAGAACATAATTTTTAGTTCTGGGCTGTTTCACTTTGAATGAAAAAGCTTTGTGTTTTAAACATTTCTTCGTCAGAATTTATATGATTTTTTTTTCAAGTTTTTTGTGAAAACATGAAATTTAAATAATTGTAGAGCATATTAATAAAAGATGCACATAAGAAAGAATGAGTGTTTGATTTGTTTAAAGGTGGAATATGAAACACGGACACCACAGCGACATCTAGTGAGCGGAGGTTGTAGCAGCAACAATAGAACTATGGGTGTTTCTCATTGTCAAGGAACCTCGCCATGATGTCTTGGCCCCGCCCCGGTTGCCTAGGAGATACGTCATCGGGAGCTGCCAAGACGTGTTCTAATGTTCATGTTCTACTGAGGCGTGTGTTCTCCGTTTGTTAGCCGTTTAGCTAGCTAAGCGAGGATACACGGGAGGTGTCTTGTAGCCTAGCCTTGGTCAAAAAATACCCAGAAGCCGGCAGCTACTTCGGGGACAATTTTCAAGTTTAAAAGTAAGTCAGCTAATTTAAAATGTTTTTTTAAGATCCAAAGAAGTTATCTATGGTTGGTTAGTTGCTTAGTGGTTGCAGCTTCGGTGGCTAGCGGGTAGTAACTCACTTATATATTTAATTTAAACATATATTTAAACAGGTCTCGGGTTCCAGAGCCAATGCAATGTGTCGAGGTGAGTCCGACTATATCTAGCCGGTACCGCTCAACCTCTGCCACAAGCTCCGGCTCCTTCCCCGCCAGCGAGGTGACGTTCCATGTCCCAAAAACTAGTTTTCTTGTCCGGGGATTGGACCGCCAAGGCTCCCGCCTTGGTCTGCCACCCGATTCGCATTGCACCGGACCCTTCATGTTCCTCCTGCGGGTGGTGGGTCCACAGTTGGACGAGCCCATGTATCCGGTTCGGGCTGGGCCCGGCCGGGCCCCATGGGCGAAAGCCCGGCCACCAGGCGCTCGCTCACGGGCCCCAACCCCAGGCCTGGCTCCAGGGTGGGACCCCGGTAACCCTCCGGGCCGGGTACTCCGACTCTTCGTTTTAACCGCCATGAAAGATCCTTCGAACCGTTCTTTGTCTCACCCTTCACCTAAGACCAATTTGTCATGGGAGACCCTACCAGGGGCACTAAGTGCCCCAGACAACATAGCTCCTAGGATCATTAGGGCACTCAAACTCCTCCACCACGATAAGGTGACGGTTCAAGGCCGAAATGAGTTTCCTCCGTAGGGTGGCCGGGCTCAGCCTTAGAGATAGGGTGAGGAGCTCGGACATTCGGGAGGGACTCGGAGTAGAACCGCTGCTCCTCCGGATCGAAAGGAGCCAGTTGAGGTGGTTTGGGCATCTGGTCAGGATGCCTCCTGGACGCCTCCCCGGGGAGGTGTTTCGGGCATGTCCTGCCGGCAGAAGGCCCCCGGGTCGACCCAGGACACGTTGGAGAGGTTACATCTCCAATCTGGTCCGGAAACGCCTTGGGGTCCTGCCGGAGGAGCTGGTGGACAAGGCTGGGGAGAGGACGGCCTGGAGCTCCCTAGTTGGGATGCTGCCCCCGCGACCCGGACCCGGATAAGCGGAGGAAGACGAGACGAGACGATATATTTAAACATGTACACAATTTAAAAAGTCGGCCGCTTAAAGGGTTATGAGATTTGGCTTACCGTTTCCTGGTTGTTGGAGAAGGCTTTGAGAGGAGGGTAAATCATGGCTGGCTGAGCGGGTCGAGTGAGGGTCCGAGGTAATGGGTGGGAGCTGAGCACCAGAGTCCGAGATGTCCAGGTTGGCAGGTGGGGGTTGGAGAGCAGGCGGTCAGGGGTGAGCGACGGGGCTGGCAGGTAGGGTTAGAATCCAATGAGTCTATTTCCTGATGATGAAGGTTGGCTCGGGGAAGAGAAGTTCCTGAGGAGGTCGGAGGGAACAGGACAGGTAAGTACAGGGAGGCGAGGTACACAGGAGATAAAAACGAACTTAGATACAGGCAAGGAGCTGGCAAGAGTACTATCCAATACTGAGTAATCATCCGGCAGTGATGAGTAATCCCGACGCTCCTTAAATCCCCTGACCACTGATGAGCAGATCAACGGCAGCTCCTCTCCGGACACACCCACTCAGCACAACACAGAGGTTAACTCAGCACAGACCATGACACCAGTAGGCTTTGATTACTGGACCTCGGGGACCTGCTGGGGGTGTAGGGACTAAGAAGATCACCAATGTAGGATGGTGCTTGTCCATGTAAGGCCCTATAGACCAGAACCAGAATCTTGAAATGAACCCTGAAGTTGACTGGCAGCCAGTGAAGCTGGAGGAGAAGCGGGGTGATGTGGGTGTGTTTGGAGGACTTGGTCAGAAGCCGAGCACAGGCGTTCTGAACCACCTTGTTTAACAGCAATACTACAGCGATACAAGATGACTTCATCATTGTTTCTAATAATCAACTCAGGTTTTCTCAGCGATGTTGAAATGAAAAAAAAAGTTTTGTCTGCATCTTTGGCACATTAAAGATAGCTCCATATAAAATATTCAAAACGTTTTTTTACTTTTGGAGATACCATGAACTAAAGTAAGTCACTATTGCTGCCAAACTGAAGTAGAAATAAATCAGCCTAATAAGTTTGGAAATAAAAGGAACATTTAATGAAAAACTGTTTCATAAAAATATTAATTGAACAGTAAAACAACAAATCTATGCATTAAAAGGCAAAAAACGAAAGAAAACCTTACATTATGGGCAACATCATCACGAGTCAGGTGTTTAATTTTTTGTTTGAATGATTTATGATTGTATCTTAATCAAACAGATTGTATTTTCAATAACAATAACCATGCTGCTAACAACGCCAATGTTAACTTAACATTTTAATGATGAACAAATAGTATTAACAGAATAAAAAAAAGTTTCTAACGCTTTTATTTTGAAAGATCTCCATAATTGGCTGTGGTCTAAATCTGTAAAAGGTTAATCAGACTTATTTTAAGGAAGTGATTTGGGAGAATTTTGCCATATATGACTATTGTAATTACTATATTATTAAACATATGACTAAAAGCTCCCAACAGTGTTCACAGACTGCTCTATTGTTGGTCTTTCTGGCAAAAAAGGATGTAACTGAATAAGATAAGATAAGATAACCTTTATTAGTCCCACAAGTGGGAAATTTGTTTCGTGTACAGCCAAGTAAAAGTAAGGTAAAAGTTATGCAGCAGAGGGAGAAAACACTAAAATACAATAAGTTCAATCGTAATGAGATAAAATAAACTCCATACAATAATACAAGAACTAAGTACTAAGTAATAAAAGTAATAAAAGCAGAAAAACATGTGGGTTCGTTTCTTCTATTTTTTGTTCGAAAATAAGTGTTGTTGAATGTATTTTACTGTTAATTATCTTCATCTTTATTGGTTCTCTAACCTTTTACCACCAGCCACAGTTTTATCTCAGCAGATTGTCCATTCCCTATAATTCTCTAGAGTTTAATGCTTATTGTGTTCACGACGTTTAGTTTAATTATCTAATTAAAACAATTTTAACAATTAAAACCAAACATTTGTGTTACGTGACTCCGGACAGTTCCTCTCCTGATCTAGAGAGGGCGCTGCCGCAATCACCACCACTCCTATTAAGCCCCGCCTCCTACAACAAAAACGGTCCTCTCCCCGCTTCCTATTGGCTGGCGACACCGCGCTTCCTCCTACGTTGCACTCTGAGCAGCTGTGTATGGTGTACGGATGCTGAGGATTTCTTTTGGTACTCAGGTTCTGGGCACTCGGTTCCGACTGGCTTTTTTTGTCGCCGCAGACCGTAAACTATTAACCGCAAAGAGATGGCTCAGAGCTCCGAAGCCGCCAACGCCCGCTCACCGTTAAACGGTGAAAAGAAGAGGAACGTTGCTGTCATCACCGGCATCACCGGGCAGGTACGATACAGGACAGTAAATATGTGTATGCAAAGTAAACGCTGCATAAATTATCCTTTATTTTTGTGCTTTTGTTACTTTTGATCCTATAAAAACTAAGCTTTGTTTAAAAAAGGCGCCTCTGCCGGTGTCACAGAGTTCTAGTTCAGGTGCTGAGTCACAAAAGTCAAGTTTAAGTGGCGTTTCCGACCCGCACCTCGGGTGTGTGATTAGGAGATAAAGCAGAGGTATTTACTCAACCAGGAAACACGCCGTGTTACTGAACACCGCTGCTGTTCGCCCTGGAGGCTGTGCTCAAGCTGATTCACAGGCGGAAAACAAGTCTGTCGGGGTCAAAGGAGACTCGTTGCTTCTGGACAGGGCCGTTTCTAGCATTGTGGGGGCCCTATGCAAGATATTGTTCTTGGCCCCCCTATTTTGAAAAACTGCAATTGATGATCTATAAACACACCATGAATTGTCACAAACTGCAAGCAAACATGGTACAGTGTTAAAATTTAACACTCACTCAAGAAATATAACTAACTAATAAAAACTAGAAAGCAGTCAGAGTGCAGACCTCCACCCTGGGAGGGGTGTTCACATCACACATCCCATAATAAAGGAGCTGGTGCATGTGAACAAGTACGACAGCAATTGATTAAAGGTTCCTGTATCAAGACAAGTGGTCAAGATCACAATCTGATGGTCTGAGATTGAATTATTTTAGGATAACTCTGGTTTTGTTGGGCTGTTAACATTTAAAGCTGGTGTGTGGTTTATAATTGGGATTTAAAACCAAAGCAGTAACTGTAGTTAAAAAAGCATTTGATTTTTCTTCAGAAATTTCTGAATAGAAAATGTAAATGTATATGAAAAAAATCTGAAATAGCAGAAATCAAGCGTAACATGTATTACAACCTTTTATTGATTTATTTACATGTACAACTTTCAGTGTTTGAGTTTCCGTAGATAATGTCTCTCAGTGTTCAGGTGTTTTTAGCTGTTGTGGTGTTCTGCAGAGCAGTTCTTGTCCTGCTGCAGACTAAACAATTTCTTGCACTCTTTGCACATCCAGGGAGTGTTTATTTTATTTAATATTTTTTGCACAGAGTGTACCTGTTTCACCCGACCTGCCCTCTGTGCTTTGTCTATTCCTTCTCCACTGGTCCAGGGGGCAGGGATGCGACCTTGAGTGGAGGTTACTGGAGGGTTTTCATCCTGTGCACAGTGCTGCTCCTGAAATTGTTGATGTTTCATGGTCTCCTGCTGCTAGTTGTTGCTGATTTGTTGTGGAGCTGGTGGTGAGAGGCAGCTGATAGCCAGGGGTTCTTCTGGGGATAAATCTGGGTGTCGTGGGTCGACGGTACCTGGGTCTGACTTTGTTGTCCAGGAGTCCAGAGATGTGGAGCATCTCCATCAGTCTCCTGTCTCTGATATTGCCTGTTGCTAGTGATGGTGGATGGCTCTTCATCAGAAGAATCTCTAAAATTATAAATACATGAAAGTTGTCATGGTGTGAAAATTTAACCTCACAGTTATTGCGACCAAAATTGTCACGGTTTTCGGTATTATCGCGGTATTCTTTTAAACGTGCTACATTTCCAGACAACTAAATAAACCCTGTATGTCAGGAAAATTTGTCCTCGGTTTGTGGCTAAAGTTTTGCCTAAAATGTGTTATTTTGTAATTATGTTGTTTGTTTACATTTTTCTTCCCCTTTAGTCTTTAAAATACCAATATTTGCCCATAACTTCTTATTTTTTGTCTGTTTGATGTCATCATTTTAAAAATATTACATCAGATGATACTCAGTACTCAAGTAGCCTTCTAATCAGATACTTTTTTACCCTTACTTGAGTAATAAACCCTATATCAGGAAAGTATTGTCCTCGGTTTGTGTCCTTCCAGTGAGCTTTGCAGATGTGGGAAAATGTCATCAGGCAGTAATCGTTGTTAAATTCATAATTATTCTCGGAGAGAGACCAACTCTTATCTGCCCCTGGGAGCCCCGTAATGCATAGCGTCATTTCAACATGGCGGTGTCCGCGACACGGTTTATTTGCAGGGAGCGGCGCTGCGGCTGCTTTATATAGCGACTCGTTGCATTCTCCCTCAACCCAAATCCTCGGATCACACATTTTAGCTAAAACGCTAACGTTAGCTTGCCTTGCGTTGACTGTAGAGTTGTGGGTGATGGTCACGCAGATGTGTCATGAGATTTGAAGCGTTGCTGCCTTTCACAGACACTTTTTCTGCACGTGCTGCAAACAGGACAGCCGTCTTCTATCAACTGTCCCTCGGCATTCTTCAAATATCCAAAAGATGCCCGTACTTCCCACTTTGTCTTGTTTGAGGGATAATAAATGTCCTGTGCGCTGCCGTCTCCTCCTTTGACCATTATTTCAGCTTTAGCTTCAAGAAAGTTTTGGTTGTAAACAACAAAGTGCGCATGTGCCGCCGGCAACTTCAGCAGATGATACGGTGGCTGGTAAGGGTCACCGCGCGTACACCGCAGCCACGGTAATCCACCGAGATACTTTATTTTAAAAAAAACAAGACGGTTATTATTATTATCAACTTTTTTTTACCGGGGTTTACCGCTACACCGGTTACCGTGACAACCCTAAAAAACATCAGATTTTATAAAACATACTCAAGTGGTAAATACTAGAAAATGAAAACTGTAAAAAAAATTATTCAATAAAATACAGAACTAAAGCTAGAAATATATTTGAACTAGGGCTGCACGATATTAGGAAAACCTGCGATATTTGATAACAGTGCTTAATATTGCGATATCGATATTACTCACGATAAATGAACAAATACTAAAGTATGCAGTGTTGATGTCGTCTGGCGTGTGACGTCTGCTCTGGGTTCAAAGCAAACAAAAACTAATGCATGAATTCCATTACAACATAGGGCTGGGCGATATATCGATATTTTTTAAATATCGGTATAATTTTTAAACAAGATATAAGATGACTTTATATCTTTATATTGATATAACTGGCCAAACTGCTATGCTAGCGATTAGCCGCTATGCTAGCGACATGTTGCTCCGTTTCTAAGCGGCTATTACGTGTATTCTCACAAGTTTGCTCAGTCTGAGAGCCTCTGGGTAAATGTGCTGCTCTAAACTTTGCATTTGGCCTACTGGTTTTTAATTATTTGGGGACGTTCAATGCCAACGTAGTTCTGTTTTCCATCCTGCTTATGCGGAGAGACGAGCCAAACCCCTCCCTCCCCTGTGTAATGAGGAAATGGCTACGGAAAGCCGGAGTGGCCAAATGAACTGAGACATATTGTAAGGGTTTGACTAGTAAACTATAGAGCTCCGGACCCCACGTGACTCTCAGTTAGTGGACGCCATTTTGGCATGCAAAAAAGGTAAACAAACACGGATGTAACCATGAACATGAACGGGATCCGCTTGGATTTTACTTCGTCGGAGTTTACTTCACACTTTAAAACAGAAGAAATCGTTTTATATAGTCAGAAATTAAATAGACTAAACATCTCCGACCCTTACCGTGCCCCTGGGATACTTTTTAAAAACGCCAGAAGCTGTCGGAGCAGACTTCTTACCGGACCTGGCCGGGGAACCCCTTGGGATTCCCCCGGCCGGAGGAGCTGGGGAGAGGTCTGGGACTCTCGACTCTACTGCCCGCTCCGACGCCAGAAGCTGTCGGAGCGGACTTCTTACCGGCACAACACCGGACCTGACCGGGGAACCCCTTGGGATTTACCCGGAGGAGCTGGCTCCGGCAGCTGGGGAGAGGGAAGTCACGCTACTGCCCCTGCAACCCGACTCCGGATACGCGGATGAAAATGGATGGATGGACGGACAAATAACAGATTTACACGTAAGTAGTCTCGGTGAGACGGATAATAGCAATCCAAAGTGCTTTTTATGTGTGATCTGACAATTGATCAACCATTGCTTAAAAATTAAATACAGCTTAGCCGGTTAATTGCTGTGATCATAAAACACGTAAACGGCAGCACGCAGAACTCACGAGGCAACGTTTTACGTGACGTTTACTTGCTGCTATGAGTAATAAGACAGAAAAAGCCACACCAAAATAAGTTTAGGAAGCCCACTAAGAATCTTAATAAAAGCATTTAAAATAAATACCATACACAGTTGAGGAAACGTTGGTTTAAGTACCTGATATGAAGCGGTCGCTGCATAAGCGAAAACCTTTACTCTCGGGGTCCCACAGTTTCATTTTCGCCCGGTCACTAGCGCGTTTTATTACAATGATCCAACGTTTGCGGCGCTCCGGATCTTGGGGAATCCTGTAGATGGCTCATTCCTTATGTCGTCCGCGTCTGTTCTGCATCCTGGGGCACAACAGGAATCTACCATATTTCCCGTTTGATTGAGTTTTCTGACAATAACAAATAGTCCAGCTGCCGGCTTCTGCCTGCCAAATGGCGCTGTTTCGATTTGAACTGTTGCATGCCGGGAGAAGTGACGTCAGCTCCCGGAGCTCTATAGGGTTACCGTTTTATTTTGAAGGCGAACTCAACGGGTGAGAAATGTTGTTCCGGTTCCGTTTTTTCCGCTCTGGTTTGCTATGCTAGTAAATACTCCGTTACGAGTGATTCTGATGAAAAAGTTGAGTTTGTAAGGTGTGAGTTATGGCGACAGTAGCCCGAAAATAACACTCATAAAAGAGCAACCAGAGACTGAATCATTACAGTATAATCGCTGATATGAGCCAACACTGCTAACTAATAACTAGCAACTAGTTAATAACTAGTTTTTCTAATAACTAATAACTCCATGGTGCATGACCCATGTGATCTCCAGTAGATGCAATTACATCATCGTACATTTAGCTTAACATGATGGATTTTTTTTTCTCTGGACAAGACCTATACAATATGGGCCACCTCTAGATGAAATTAAAAATAATTTTACATTAATTATAAATATATAATTAAAAAGTGCCTGTGGGACATTTGATACACCTCTGGCTCTCAACTGTGTGCATGTGCGTGTGTGTGTG